TACAGCTACCGTCCTTTCCTCTCTATTCCATGCCTCAATCATCTCCCTGTCCGTCCCATCTATTTTTCCCAGCTCAGTCACGCACACTTCCTTCTCGTTCTTGTACAACGGACATTCCGCGACTACATGAACACGGTCTTCGCATTCGAAGCCGCAATCACATTTGAACTCGTCGTCTTCCTCGTCTACCGTCCTATGTCTTCGTCGACGTTCTCGAAGGCCTATGTCCCCGGTCCTGAATTTGGCCTTAATATTTGTTCCTGCATCCATTGGTCTATGTAGGTAATCCTTGAACCCTATTCCTTCAACATTCCGTACACTTCTAGACCCTCCTTATCCTTGGATTCTTTCTTGAGATTCTGTTCTTCTCGCTCGGCACTAGCAACAGATATCTTCTTGAACCCCTGTAGACCCTCCGTTTCCAGCGTTTCATCTTCGTCGATGTCGAGCCCCTTCCATACGTCCTCTACAACCTTGACCCATTCCGTGGGTTGTCTACCCCTTTTTTTGTTTGCCCACTTTGCCTCCCATGCAGTTCTCGGCAACCTCTCCTCTCCCATCCCGCACATGCGATACTGCCATGTCAGCTTCCTCGCGTCTCTTCCCGACCGTAGGGATTGGATCCCCAATTCTGCCCTGACGGCTGCATTACTTGTGCGCTTGGAGCATCCTAGGATGATTGTCGCTGCTTTCATCTGCGCCGCCTCGAGTTCTTTCACTACCTTCTTATTTCCTTCCCATACTTCTCCGGCGTACTCTAGCGGCGGTACGATGACACTCTTCAAAACCGTCAAATTGATGCGTGTATCGAGGTGCCGGTTCCGGGGGGGGGGAGGGGTGCCATAATTGCGTCTGTTGCGGGGAGGAACCACAGCAGTACAGCAGTGTGGTACATTTCACCAACATACCAATCGGGTGCGGCGAGTTCGCGGTGTGCGCGCGCGATGCACAGAGCAAATGCAGAGCACAAGTAGTATGTTTGGGTTTTGTCATTGTTTTGGGTTCATTTTTTTTCCGTGGTTTTGGGCAGATCGACGTAGACTACATGCGTAGATCGACGCAAAAATTGTGCAAGTACTGTACTCAGTAGGAGTATTTATTTGGTGACCTGTGTACCAGAGGTATGAGACCAGGTTACTGTACTTTGGCATGTATATATCTGCCCGGGGTGCATACCCCATGTAATTCAACAGCGGGACAGCCCCGTCGTCGACGCTATATTATTAATTGGCAACAGACGCGCACCCCTTTCTTGTTTTCGGAAACATCAACAGTAAGAGAGCAAGCAAAACCCTCGGTTGCGGTTGTTCGCTCGTGCACGGGGAAGACGTTGTTGGCCAGTTTTGCTTCATATGCCGGTGCCCCCAAGCTACGTACCTCCCCGGTCGTTATTCTCACCATCAGCGTCTGGCGGTGGACACGTTGTTCGTTAGTATGCATATCAGAGGTACCAAATAGGTCGTGATTGAATCTACTCAGGCTCAAAAAGGCGTGGATGTGGAGCATCATGTTTAGGTCATCGCAGACCAGAAAGAACAACAGTTAAAAAAAATGGTTGACGAAAAACGGCCAAAAATTTCCCCCCCCCGCCCCCTGCGTGTCCGAAACACCACCAAAACGCATGGAAACAAACCACGAAAGGTCGCTGGAATGGCGAAGGAAGCAGCTCAATGCCATCCGTCGCATGTGCCAGGAGAACGAGGACGCCATGGTAGACGCATTGAAGAAGGACCTCCGTCGGTGCTACAACACCGCGGTCACGTACGAGCTGTGGGACATCATTGCGCAGGTGGGACGTTTTGTTGGTTCCCGGCGGTGAACCCGACAGTAACAGCAGTGCAGCGAGGGGTGGAATTCACTCCCTGGTGTGTTACTGATGTTGTTGTTGTTATTGTTGTGGTATTCACATCAAAAACCGTTCCAACCTCTCTGTCCAGTACCTTCTTCTGTCCGTACTATTCCAACACTTGACGCGGTCGATTCCGGTGGTCTTTGATGATATGCGTTAGAACACCGGGGTGGTGGGATTTTGTCTACTGCTGCTGCTGTGTGTCGCTGCCGTGATCGTCGTTGGCGTGTTTGTCCTTACCCCCCCCCCCCCCCCCCCCCCCCCNCCCCCCCCCCCCCCCCCCCTTGTTGTTTGTTTTCGACTTGCTTTTATTTTGGTCAGATCGGCTACATGGAGGACAACTTGGAGAAGATGACCAAGAACGAGAAACTCCCTTCGCCGCTGGCGCTCAAGCCCCTGTCGTATGAGGTGTGAAAAAAAAAACGAGGCAGGGCGCGTTGTCACTGTCACCGCCCCGACTGCTGCAGCAGCTTGGGGGGGGCGTGAAATTTGTACACATGCCCTTTCGTTCGTGTTGTGACAACGTAGTTGGAGGGAGGTGGCGTTGGTACCAAGACTCGCTAACCTGGTGCACCCGCCCGGAAACGTATCGCTTCAGTCTGGCGGAACCCCTCGGAGTGTTTTTTTTTCTCCTGATATCTTCGTTTCACAGCACGGACCGTCCTGGCCTTTGTCAGCCGGTACCTCCTGTCCCACCTACTGGCCCAAACCCGCTGAAGGAGAGGGCCGGGGTGATAAGTTTGGCGAGTGGATGCAACGAAAAAATAATCTGTTAAGTAATTGTTTGTACCCGTCGCTGGCATGTTTCCACCTAAAACCTGCGGCGTTGCCTCGACCCTCTCTGTGGGTCCCCTTTTTTTTTTGTTTCCCCGTCCATTGTTTTTTTCTTTCACTCGCATTTGGTGACCGATAACTTCATTTAGCCTGTGACCGTTTGTTTGCCCCTTATCTTTTCACCTCTAACATGTTGATTACCGATTGCCTGCGGCCTTGCGTCCCCTCACCTCTTTGTGTCGGATCCGTTTTATATTTTTGCATTTTTTTAGGTATGGAAGGAGCCTTTAGGGGTGGTGACGATCATTGCTCCGTGGAACTTCCCGTTCTCACTGCTCCTGAACCCCGTGGTGGGAGCCCTCGCGGCGGGGAACACGTGCGTGCTCAAGCCGTCGGAGGTATCGTCCGCCTCCGGTCAGCTCATTGCGGTGAGGGAGANGGGAAGGGAAGGGAAGGGAAGGGAAGGGAAGGGAAGGGAAGGGAAGGGAGATGCGGAGAAGAAGGGGTAGGAAGAGCTCGATTGCTCCGCAACCAGGGCAGCAACAAGATGCCCCACAATATTGATGTGGAGAGTCTTATCCGTAGCGTGTTCGGTCGGTGTTTACGCTCCCCGATCGCTTTTCGTCTCATAAACGTGCGGGTGCCATAGGGTGGGGAGCACCAATATGCCCCACAATATTGATGTGGAGAGTCTTATCCGTAGCGTGTTCGGTCGGTGTTTACGCTCTCCGATCGCTTTCGTCTCATAGGCGTGCGGGTGCCATAGGGTGGGGAGCACCAATATGCCCCACAATATTGATGTGGAGAGTCTTATCCGTAGCGTGTTCGGTCGGTGTTTACGCTCTCCGATCGCTTTCGTCTCATAGGCGTGCGGGTGCCATAGGGTAGGCTGCACGAGCGTACACACAGCATACCACGCGTGAAAATTGTCACGTTCATGCACACGCACGAAGGACCTCGGGCAGCGGTATTTTGCTAGCCTTGGCGATGTGTTACTTTTCGCCGCGGCTTCTCCAGTTCATGGGGTCATCGCCAACAGCCTTCCCGGTGGTCTCACCCGACGCCGGGCTGCACGATGATGAGGGGTTTCCAATAGTCGGGAAACTAGACTACTGGATGTAAGGGGTTAAGACCCCCCCCAAAAAAAAACAAAGGAGACGAGGAGGAGACATTGGACACGGAAGGGTTCGGGGGGATCAAGAAGAAAGTCAAGGAAATGCTAGAAAGTACTAGTAGGGAGGAGGCAACCCTTCGGAAGAAGGTACGAAGCGAAGACCACTTGAAGACATACGGGAAGTTGAAAGAAGGGATAAAGATGAAGAGTTACTTGGACGGCCCCATGGACTACGCAAAAAAACTGAAGTTGCAATTTCGAGTAGGCGATCTGGACTTGCCAGAACGGAGGAAGAGGTACAGCAGCCGTAGGAGAGAGGAAGAGGAGGATAGACAGACATGTCCATGTGGCAAATCGGAGGAGAGTAGACCCCACATAGTTGGGGAGTGTGAGCTGTACAGGAAGGAAAGAGAGGATCTCGAGGAGGACATGAGACAAAGAGGATGTGACATGGACAAGTTTGGTAAATTTGACAACAGCGAGAAAACGATTGCGGTAATTGGGGATAGATGGTGGGTACAAGAGGCCGTAGAGGACGGGGATAAGATGTGCAAGAAATTCTCATGTAGTTTGTGGCAGAAACGTAAAGAGCTCCCAAATGTTGGTGTCTCTAGTAGGGGTAGGAACGGTGCTCCGTCTCGAAAGGGACGCGTGGTCAATGGTCAAATGACTACGGCAAGCAACAAATGAGTACGCCCCCCCCCAAAAAAAAAAAAACTCGGGGTCCGCTTGGGCCTATCGTACGCGTCCTTTTTTTTTTTTCTTGTTGCCTTTCCCTTGACCTGGTTCTGTATCGCGTCTCCCGACCTTACCCGTGCGCTTGCCTCTTTAAAAGCTGATGATGTTACTGTCTGTTCGCCTGGGCCGCTTCGCATGAACGTGCTTCTATATTGCGTCTCCGCCCGTGCCTTTGCGCCTGCCTCCCAATCCCGCTGCTGGGAACTGCCTGCCTTCCTGCCTGTTCCCGCCTCCATAATCACCCGCGCAGGAGCTGGTGCCTAAGTACCTGGAGCCTACAGTGGCCAGAGTCGTGACCGGGGGGGTTGCTCAGACCACTGAGCTGTTGGCGCAGAAGTGAGTGGGGCGGGGGCGGAGGGAGGGCGTCCTCATTGGTTCTGCATGCCTTGGTTTGTTACCGTGTTTTCGTTTCCTGTTCGCACCATGACTTCAGGGTCACTCTTTGCTTGCTCGCGTGCTCTCGTTTCCGTTTCGCATGATGATTCAGGGTCGACAGCATCATGTACACGGGCGGGGGCAAGGTGGCCAGGATCGTCATGGCCGCCGCCGCGAAAAACCTGACCCCGGTCACGCTAGAGCTTGGCGGCAAGTGCCCCACCTACGTCGATGAGGTGCGTTGCTGTTGGCCGTGGGGGTGATGATGATGCTGTTGTTGGTGCTGGTGGCTGTGTTGGTGTTGGTGCTGTCGCTGTCGCTGTTGCTGCAACATTCAAGTCAAGGCAGCTGTCGTGACCAGGCATTCACTCGCTAGATCCTCAGTGCGTTCGCCTGCGCAGAGATCAGTAGCCTTGGCAAGGTCTTGTTTGTTGTGTCAACATTTTGTACAAAGCATGCTTCGGGGAAGTTGGGTCAGGGTTAGGGGTAGGGTCTGCGCACCCCCGCCCTGGTGTATTCAAGTCTATTTTCGTCATTAACTTGTTTCCTCGCGAAGGCGGCCGGCAGAGATTCGCCACAACCGCCCAGACACAGCCTCATCGTCCTGGCTGACGAGCCCGCCGCACTTCGCTGTTTGCAGCCGGCCACGATCTTGCTCCCGTGCTCACCCCGTAACCGTGACCGTTGCCCTCTTGCGCGCGTATATGTCTATCTCTACGGGTGTGCGTGCACTTTTTTGGCTCGGGACGATGCGAATGGAATGGAACGGAACGCCGCGCAACGGGATGGAATTCGGGGGGGGGGGGGG